TTTATTCTGTTGTCCACACTTGCTGTGTTATGTCTCATTTGGGCCATGAGGCCCTCCTGGCCCTCTCATTGAGTGCTCCTGGAGTGCTGTGTAAACATAAATAGCAGAATGGAGGTGCAGCTTCTTAACAGCCTAATTTCCTGCTACTGCAGCAGCTCCGGAAGTGCTCTTGGAGGGGGCCACTGAGAAGCATAGTGTGGGATGCTCTCCTTTCTTCTAGTTGCTCTCGGAACGCTCTGGGCAGCTTTGTCCTTCTCTCTTGAGGCCACGGTTCCTTACTTCCTTGACACTGGCCATCCCGTTTTCGGTTGGACTTCTAGGTGAGAATTGGGAGTTATTGAGACTTAATCCGTCTGGTTCATCCCATTGCATTCCCCATTGTTTCCCTCCCTGGGACACATGAACAATGGCTGCCACACCTGCAGTTGGACAGTAGCCAGGAGTTGGCTCGCTGAGACAGGGTTACTTACATTCAACTGTGTGACGACTCTGTGTGAGATCCCATGCATCCTGCACCATCTGGTTCCCTTCCAGGTGTCAAATCATGGTAAACAAGAAGTGGGGCAGAGGTGGAATGCCTGGGGGTCGATGAGGCCTGATTTAGCTGTAGTGCTGTGGCAGGCAGCGTGTTTGCTAGGGCATGTGCAAGCATTTACTGAGTCCATTGTCCTGAGGGTGGATACAGCAATAGGATTCTGACTCACAATTCAGTATGAGTCAAGTGATTCTATTCAGACCTGGGCTGGCAGGCTCGTTCTTTATCAAACACACACAGCACTCTGTTCCCCAACCTATTACTGGGTTCCTCAGCCCATGCACACTACAAACACTTCAGTGGACAAGAGTCCCCAGGCCAGCTGTCTAACCATACTATTCTGCTAACCTCCGTTAAACAATCTGCCCTTCCCTTGCATGGCCTCTCCCGCCCCTGCTGATAGGGTTTCTGTGTAAACAGAAGCCATTTTCTTGCTCCCTTCACTCATGCAGCAAGATCACAGTCCAGCTGGTGTAACACAGCCACACTGGATTACAAGGTGTGTCTGGCTACTGTGTCCCTTCAGAGCCAAACTGCCCAGGTGTAAACTCTTGCATGGTCTTTCTGTCATCAAGCTGTACAGAAGGGAAACTGAGGCTGTGTCCACACTATGCTGGTATAACGCCATAGTGTAGATGCAGCCTACAGTGACATAACAGGTTTTTCCGTTGGTGTAGGAACACCACCTCCCTGAACAACAGTAGCTACATCAACAGAAGCATTCTGCTGTCAACATAAATGCATCTGTCCTGCGGATTAGGTCAGCATAGCAGTGTTGGTTAGAGGTGTGTTTTTTCCCTCACCCTTGACTAACATAGAATCGTGGAAGAGACCTCCGGAGGTCATCTAGTCCAACGCCCTGCTCAAAACAGGACCAACCCCAACTAAATCATCCCAGCCAGGGCTTTGTCAAGCAGGGCCTTAATAACCTCTAAGGATGGAGATTCCACCACCTCCCTAGGTAATTAAGTGCTTCCATTCCAGTGCTTCACCACCCTCCTAGTGAAATAGTTTTTCCTAATATTCAGCCTAGACTTCCCCCACTGCAACTTGAGACCATCCAGAGCTCCATCCTCATTGGAACCCCCCTTCACGTAGTTGAAGACGGCTATCAAATCCCCCCTCACTCTTCTCCTCTGCAGACTAAATAAGCCTAGTTCCCTCAGCCTCTCCTTGTAAGTCATGTTCCCCAGCCTCCTAATCATTTTCGTTGCCCTACTGGACACAGTACTCCAGGTGTGGCCTCACCAGTGCCGAATAGACGGGAATAATCACTTCCCTTGATCTGCTGGCAATGCTCCTACTCATACAGCCCAATATGCTGTTGTCCTTCTTGGCAACAAGAGCACACTGCTGACTCGTATCCAGCTTCTCGTCCACTGTAATCCCCAGGTCCTTTTCTGCAGAACTGCTGCTTAACCAGTTGGTCTCCAGCCTGTAGCGGTGCATGGGATTCTTCCTTCCTAAGTGCAGAACTCTGCACTTGTCCTTGTTGAACCTCATCAGATTTCTTTTGGCCCAATCCTCCAATTTGTCTAGGTCACTCTGGACCCTATCCCTACCCTCCAGCATATCTACCTCTCCCCGCAGTTTAGTGTCATCTGCGAACTTGCTGAGGGTGCAATCCATCCCATCATCCAGATTATTAATGAAGATGTTGGGGAAAAAAACGGCCCCAGGACCAACCTCAGGGGCACTCTGCTTGATACTGGCTGCCAACTAGACATCAAGCTGTTGATCACTACCCAGTGAGCCCAATGATCTAGTCAGCTTTCTATCCACCTTATAGTCTATTCATCCAATCCATACTACTTTAACTTGCTGGCAAGAATACTGTGGAAGACCGTATCAAAAGCTTTGCTAATGTCAAGATATATCACGTCCACAGAGCCAATTATCTCATCATAGAGGGCAATCAGGTTGGTCAGGCATGACTTGCCCTAGGTGAATCCATGTTGACTGTTCTTGATCACTTTCCTCTCCTCCAAGTGCTTCAAAATGGATTCCTTGAGGACCTGCTCCATGATTTTTCCAGGGACTGAGGTGAGACTCACCGGTCTGTAGTTCCCCAGATTCTCCTTTTCCCCTTTTTTTAAAGATGGGCACATAACCATGTCAACTTAATTTTTAGGTGTAGACCAAGCCTAAATGAGAGTGTGGGAAACAGAGACCCCAAAGTGTGCATCATGCTTCAGAAGACAGTGTTCTGAGACCACACAGTCGGTAGCCACTGCACGCCACACACGCCTTGTTCCTGGGGTTTCTCTTTGATTTAAATCATCATGCCTGTAATCTAATTAACACGGAACTGGGTTTCCAGTACAGTTGCCTGTTTGGTTCAATAAAAACACATTTGTACTAAAGGTTAATTAAATGAATTTTGCCTCCATTTAATTCATTTAAAATTATAGAACCAATCAATGCTTGCTAATGGAAAAGAGATTAAATATTTATGTCTATAAATTTCCCATGTCATTTTTGATTTTTCTTAATCTTTACTTCCGTTGGCTGGGTTCTGAAGGAGTATGAAAGCCCTAATGAAAAGTCCGTTTTGGATATTAATTGCAGATTTATCCAGTTTAAGTAAAAAAGACTTCCACATGTGTCTACTTAATGTACCTTGAAAACAGGATTAGTTTCTATTACAAATGGGAAGGAAAAACAGCTGGGGTCTGCCCACGAGTGCAGGGAGAGCCTGCGGCTGAAGGCCCTCGAGAGCCAAAGACAAGAATGGAGCTGACAGGGCACCATCCTGTTCTTACAGCAATTGTAGTCTTTTTAAGAGAGTTTTCTTTTACTATAACTGTGCTTGCTTTGCTTAACTCCCTCCAGACACTCGGTAGTACAGTGAATGTGGCAGAGCTTGCAGCAAGGAGATTTTTACTGGAGAGCACAATAAAGGGTTATCCATGAACAGCAAAGCTTTTGTAAAAACTAGTTGAAGCTCCTGAATTATTAACGCAATCAGCGTGCAGACATAAATGTTACAAATATGCTTTCATTTTATAAGTGAATGTTAGACAGTAGAGTCTTTGTTCCCATACCCACCAGCTCCCAAGCACAGAACTTCATGTTTTCTCTGGGAGAGGCACTGACATTGCTACCCCTTTGTTAAGGCAGGTTTCTCCTGCTGCTGTGTGTGTGTCTGTGATCTTAGCACCTCTGGCTGGGAACGTTCAGAATCTGGAATTGCCAGTGGGAACTATTTGCAGTTGCACATTGATGCAGTTGTTGGTTTGGGATTGCAAATGAGTGGTGACGAGGTGTTGGATTTATTTTAAAAGCATTGCATCTTCCCTTGGATGTCAGTGAGACAGAGGTGTGTTTGCTGCGACTCTTCTGTGGTAGCCTCTGGGGAGACTTGCAGAAAATGTGAAATGGAAAAAGTAAAGCAAAATGTCTATAAACATGTCTATATTAAAAATGAAGAGTGTCTGTATTCAGCGGGGGGAAGTGCCTGTCAGAGTTAGGATTCTAAGTGCAGTCAGATACAGCTCTCTGCTGCCTGCTCAACCCACTTCTACCAAACATCTGCATAATGCAGTAGTCACTGTATCAGAGGGGTAGCCATATTAGTCTGTGTCCACAAAAACAATGGGGAAGTGGGTTTTTTACCCACAGAAGCTTATGCCTAAATAAATCTGTTAGTCTTTAAGGTGCCGCCGGACTCCTTGTTGTTTTTGTAGTCACTGTAGTTCACCCAGAAGGTCAGCAGACTCCAGTGCTACCAGGCTGGGTGAGGAGTAGGAGGGTGAATTCCAGAGTCAGTTACTCAATGAATCTGAATACAGAATCATTCTCTGATCATTGATGAATGAAAATTACAAAATATAATTAACGATGAGAGCTGACATGTCACTGGTGGTGATGGAGGCAAGGGAAGTGAACACAGGGCATGCCTCCTGAACTCTACTGAGCTGGGATGGTGGAAGAGGTAGGCTGTACATGCATACAGAGGGAAGGTGAGGTTTCTGATCGGATGCACTGGGCAGTGATTTTATTGCAATTGTGTCTTGGAGATTTTTGGTTTCTGTTAATACAAAGTTCTTGTTGGGTGGTGAAGCTCAGGTCTTGTTGGCAGGAGTGAGAGATGAGGATCTCCACTCACAAGCTTTGCGAGCCAGGCGATTAAAAAAAAATAAGCAGCCATTTGGGGAGGAGGGGGAGCCAATTCTGAAGGAAAACCTTTATTTTAAATTATTGTAACTTTGGCTTTAGACTCCAGAGCAGCATGTGAGAATTGTCAGTATGGGCTGGGTGAGCCTTTCCTCAGCTCTGTGGGGATTCGGGAACCAAACTACAGCTTTAGAATTGCCAATATTGTCCTGACCTGAAAATACTTTAGGGAAACCTGAGCATGTTCTTGCAGCCCCTATATTCCCCAGCACTAGCTCCCTGATCATGTATGTTTGGGCTCTGGGATCACATCAGTTCAATAACTCACCTCTTTCTTTTGGGCTTGCAGGCGTACTTCCGACAGGGTGTTGCCCTTCAGTACCTTGGACGCCATGCAGACGCACTGGCAGCATTTGCATCTGGGCTGGCTCAGGATCCCAAGAGTCTGCAGCTTCTTGTTGGGATGGTGGAAGCCGCCATGAAATCTCCCATGCGAGGTAAGCAAAACGATCGGTGTCCAAGGCACTGCAGTTATGCTGGCTGCAAGCATGAATGGACAGCAGTGCTAAAGGATCAGCATTTCCGAGAAAGGTAGGAAGCTGATTTCAGTTGGAAACTGATGCTGAGTCAGCACTTGAGGCAGGAGGAAACCTACGTAAGTGATGAGGGGCAGATTATAGGCGTTTTACATCTTCCATTGGGTCACCTGCTTCTGCGCGCTCTCAGAGGGGAAACCAAACTAGATGAGCCTCTTGTCTGATTCAGTGGGGCAGGGTGGTGGGGATGTTGGAAAGAGGGGCTTTGGCCTTGTCTGATGAGGCAGGGATACTGGAATAGGTGTGGCCTGATCGAGAACAGCAGTTCTTGTGTTCTGTGAAGTCCAGCTGTGCTACTTGGAAGTTAATGCATGGCTAACATCTCTGAAAAGGCTGAGCTGGCCACCCAGAACTGGTATTCTCCAGTCAGGGGAACACATGCATTCCCATCTACTAGAGGTCAAACACCTTATACCTTGTGAAATTCTTCTTTTCCACAGACAAGCGTGCTAATGTTTCACAAGTATTCGTAGTACAACTGCAGCAGATCACAGCCTTCCTGAAACTGTTTCAGTGCAAGGGCAGACTGGAAACGCAAGCTTTGCCGCAGCACTGGCTCTGTTGACCCTCCCAGTGTGATCCCACAATACCGTGGTGCCTGTGTGCCCCTTGAGCTCGACAAGAGTTCTGGCACTTAGGTAAACAGCTTTTTGAAATCCAAGGCTTGTGGTAGCCAGCAGGGCTCCGCAGAAGCTTTTGCTTATTTTTCACGTCTCTCAGAACAAAAAGCCCCAGAAGAGGCAGATGACCAGGCTGCTAATTCACTTTTGTCCTTGACAAGTATGGAAATGGCTTGGCGCATGTGATGCTTTCAGCGCCCATGGTGTCTTGCCTCCCCTGTATATAACATCTCCACTTCCAGGGGTGGGGATTTCAATCTCTTGAAGGGGAACTCCCTCACTGAACTGTTTCTAATCAGTTTTGTCGCAAGCACTTTGCTCGAGTGGTCTAATGCCATTTCCCAGTGGGGAGCATGGAGCGGATCAGCTCTGACTCTCAGCAGACGCTACTGGGAGCTTTGGAACTTAGGGCCAACCAGAGCTGAAATATGAAAAGAATGTTGCAGTTTCCCTTTCACAGTGTTTTCTTATAGTTTTCCAAAATGAATTAATTTGGAGTTTTTTCTATGTAGCAAATACCTTATGAGGATAATTTCACCTATGCCATCCTGTGGTGTTGCTGCTGCCTAAAATATTGCCAAAATATGACATCAGGTTCATCCTTCTTGCTTTGTAGTAATTTGTTTTGATAGGTGAGACAATCTGCTGCATGCCTCGGTATTAGCCATGAGCTCCTTCTGTCCGTATGGTGATGTCGTGGTGGGAGTCTGCTATAGACCACCGGACCAGGGGGATGAGGTGGACGAGGCTTTCTTCCGGCAACTCACAGAAGTTACTAGATCGCAGGCCCTGGTTCTCATGGGAGACTTCAGTCACCCTGATATCTCCTGGGAGAGCAATACAGTGGTGCACAGACAATCCAGGAAGTTTTTGGAAAATGTAGGGGACAATTTCCTGGTGCAAGTGCTGGAGGAACCAACTAGGGGCAGAGCTCTTCTTGACCTGCTGCTCACAAACCGGGAAGAATTAGCAGGGGAAGCAAAAGTGGATGGGAACCTGGGAGGCAGTTACTATGAGATGGTCGAGTTCAGGATCCTGACACAGGGAAGAAAGGAGAGCAGCAGAATGCGGACCCTGGACTTCAGAAAAGCAGACTTGGACTCCCTCAGGGAACTGATGGGCAAGATCCCCTAGGAGAATAACATGAGGGGAAAAGGAGTCCAGGAGAGCTGGCTGTATTTTAAAGAATCCCTACTGAGGTTACAGGTACAAACCATCCCGATGTGTAGAAAGAATAGTAATTATGGCAGGCGACCAGCTTGGCTTAATAGTGAAATCCTTGCTGATCTTGAACACAAAAAAGAAGCTTACAAGAAGTGGAAGATTGGACAAATGACCAGGAAAGACTATAAAAATATTGCTCGGGGATGCAGGAGTGAAATCAGGAAGGCCAAATCACACCTGGAGTTGCAGCTAGCAAGAGATGTTAAGAGTAACAAGAAGGGTTTCTTCAGGTATGTTAGCAACAAGAAGAAAGTCAAGGAAAGTGTGGGCCCCTTACTGAATGAGGGAGGCAACCTAGTGACAGAGGATGTGGAAAAAGCTAATGTACTCAATGCTTTTTTTGCCTCTATCTTCACGAACGAGGTCAGCTCCCAGACTGCTGCACTGGGCAGCACAGCATGGGGAGGAGGTGACCAGCCCTCTGTGGAGAAAGAAGTGGTTCAGGACTATTTAGAAAAGCTGGACGATCACAAGTCCATGGGGCCGGATGCGCTGCATCTGAGAGTGCTAAAGGAGTTGGCGGATGTGATTGCAGAGCCATTGGACATTATCTTTGAAAACGCATGGCGATTGTGGGAAGTCCCGGACGACTGGAAAAAGGCTAATGTAGTGCCCATCTTTAAAAAAGAGAAGAAGGAGGATCCTGGGAACTACAGGCCAGTCAGCCTCACCTCAGTCCCTGGAAAAATCATGGAGCAGGTCCTCAAGGAATCAATTCTGAAGCACGTAGAGGAGAGGAAAGTGATCAGGAACAGTCAGCATGGATTCACCAAGGGCAAGTCATGCCTGACTAATCTAATTGCCTTCTATGACGAGATAACTGGCTCTGTGGATGAGGGGAAAGCGGTGGACGTGTTGTTCCTTGACTTTAGCAAAGCTTTTGACACGGTCTCTCACAATATTCTTGCCAGCAAGTTAAAATAGTATGGGCTGGATGAATGGACTATAAGGTGGATAGAAAGCTGGCTAGATCGTCAGGCTCAACGGGTAGTGATCAATGGCTCCATGTCTAGTTGGCAGCCGGTATCAAGTGGAGTGCCCCAAGGGTCGGTCCTGGGGCCGGTTTTGTTCAATATCTTCATAAATGATCTGGAGGATGGTGTGGATTGCACCCTCAGCAAGTTTGCAGATGACACTAAAGTGGGAGGAGAGGTAGATACGCTGGAGGGTAGGGATAGGATACAGAGGGCCCTAGACAAATTGGAGGATTGGGCCAAAGAAATCTGATGAGGTTCAACAAGGACAAGTGCAGAGTCCTGCACTTAGGACAGAAGAATCCCATGTACCGCTACAGACTAGAGACCGAATGGCTCGGCATCAGTTCTGCGGAAAAGGACCTAGGGGTGACAGTGGACGAGAAGCTGGATATGAGTCAGCAGTGTGCCCTTGTTGCCAAGAAGGCCAATGGCATTTTGGGGTGTATACGTAGGGGCATTGCCAGCAGATCGAGGGATGTGATCGTTCCCCTCTATTCGACATTGGTGAGGCCTCATCTGGAGTACTGTGTGCAGTTTTGGGCCCCACACTACAAGAAGGATGTGGAAAAATTGGAAAGAGTCCAGCAGAGGGCAACAAAAATGATTAGGGGACTGGAACACATGATTTATGAGGAGAGGCTGAGGGAACTGGGATTGTTTAGTCTGCAGAAGAGAAAAATGAGGGGGGATTTGATAGCTGCTTTCAACTACCTGAAAGGGGGTTCCAAAGAGGATGGATCTAGACTGTTCTCAGTGGTAGCATATGACAGAATGAGGAGTAATGGTCTCAAGTTGCAGTGGGGAAGGTTTAGGTTGGATATTAGGAAAAACTTTTTCACTCGGAGGGTGGTGAAACACTGGAATGCGTTACCTAGGGAGGTGGTGGAATCTCTTTCCTGAGATATTTTTAAGGTCAGGCTTGACAAAGCCTTGGCTGGGATGATTCAGTTGGGGATCGGTCCTGCTTTGAGCAGAGGGTTGGACTAGATGACGACCTGAGGTCCCTTCAAACTCTGATATTCTATGATTCTCTCACCAGGCTGCAGTGCCTATACATGCCTCAGAGTTAGGAGACTCTACAGTTCTTCATCATTTGGTAGCTCTTTTGTGAACTGCCTCCAACCTGTAAATATCATTGTGGTGTTGAAGTGCCTGGAAAGGAGCACATACCATATTCTAGGAGCAATCACACTGCAGAGAGACTATCCCCTCCCTGCTCCAGGACGTGATTCTTCTGTGTCAGCAGCCCAAAGCTGCGACGGCCTTTCTTGCTGTCTTATTGTATTGCAATTTCATGTCTTTGTTGCTGTCCAGTCTGATCTCTAGGTCTCTCAGCATTACTGCTCTCCCTGTGTCTCCCTTCCACTGACTATTTTTGCCTCATTAGTATTAATTATTGTTATGCTAATGTTCAGAAGCCCCGCTCAGGATGTGACCCCATTTGTGCTGGGCACGGTACAGATACATACCAGAGTATGGTCCCTATCCCACAGAGTTTACCTTTGAGAGAGACAAATAACCACAGTGGGTTGGTGGAGAGGGAAATAAATACTGGTAGATCTGCAGAGACACACCTCTATTTTTGTCATTGTTCCTGTGGTAATAAATAACCAAAGTGCCGATTACCCCAAGATTAGAGAAGATTAGTCTTCTCTTCTGCAGACTAAACAATCCCAGTTCCCTCAGCCTCTACTCATAAGTCATGTGTTCCAGACCCCTAATCATTTTTGTTGCCCTTCGCTGGACTCTCTCCAATTTATCCACATCCTTCTTGTAGTGTGGGGCCCAAAACTGGACACAGTACTCCAGATGAGGCCTCACCAATGTTGAATAGAGGGGGACGATCACGTCCCTTGATCTGCTCGCTATGCCCCTACTTATACATCCCAAAATGCCATTGGCCTTCTTGGCAACAAGGGCACACTGTTGACTCATATCCAGCTTCTCGTCTACTGTCACCCCTAGGTCCTTTTCTGCAGAACTGCTGCCTAGCCATTCGGTCCCTAGTCTGTAGCTGTGCATTGGGTTCTTCCGTCCTAAGTGCAGGACCCTGCACTTATCCTTATTGAACCTCATCAGATTTCTTTTGACCCAATCCTCCAATTTGTCCAGGTCCCTCTGTATCCTATCCCTGCCCTCCAGCGTATCTACCACTCCTCCCAGTTTAGTATCATCCGCAAATTTGCTGAGAGTACAATCCACACCATCCTCCAGATCATTTATGAAGATATTGAACAAAACCGACCCCTGGGGCACTCCACTTGACACCGGCTGCCAACTAGACATGGAGCCATTGATCACTACCTGTTGAGCCCGACAATCTAGCCAACTTTCTACCCACCTTATAGTGCATTCATAGAATCATAGAATATAAGGGTTGGAAGGGACCCCAGAAGGTCATCTAGTCCAACCCCCTGCTCGAAGCAGGACCAATTCCCAGTTAAATCATCCCAGCCAGGGCTTTGTCAAGCCTGACCTTAAAAACCTCTAAGGAAGGAGATTCTACCACCTCCCTAGGTAACGCATTCCAGTGTTTCACCACCCTCTTAGTGAAAAAGTTTTTCCTAATATCCAATCTAAACCTCCCCCACTGCAGCTTGAGACCATTACTCCTCGTTCTGTCATCTGCTACCATTGAGAACAGTCTAGAGCCATCCTCTTTGGAACCCCCTTTCAGATAGTTGAAAGCAGCTATCAAATCCCCCCTCATTCACTACATACACCTTGTAGTGCATTCATCCAGCCCATACTTCCTTAACTTGCTGACAAGAATACTGTGGGAGACCGTGTCAAAAGCTTTGCTAAAGTCAAGAAACAATACATCCACTGCTTTCCCTTCATCCACAGAACCAGTAATCTCATCATAGAAGGCGATTAGATTAGTCAGGCATGACCTTCCCTTGGTGAATCCATGCTGGCTGTTCCTGATCACTTTCCTCTCATGCAAGTGCTTCAGGATTGATTCTTTGAGGACCTGCTCCATGATTTTTCCAGGGAGTGAAGTGAGGCTGACTGGCCTGTAGTTCCCAGGATCCTCCTTCTTCCCTTTTTTAAAGATTGGCACTACATTAGCCTTTTTCCAGTCATCCGGGACTTCCCCGGTTCGCCACGACTTTTCAAAGATAATGGCCAATGGCTCTGCAATCACAGCCGCCAGTTCCTTCAGCACTCTCGGATGCAACTCGTCCGGCCCCATGGACTTGTGCACGTCCAGCTTTTCTAAATAGTCCCTCACCACCTCTATCTCCACAGAGGGCTGTCCATCTCTTCCCCATTTTGTGATGCCCAGCGTAGCAGTCTGGGAGCTGACCTTGTTAGTGAAAACAGAGGCAAAAAAAGCATTGAGTTCATTAGCTTTTTCCACATCCTCTGTCACTAGTTTGCCTTCCTCATTCAGTAAGGGGCCCACACATTCCTTGGCTTTCTTCTTGTTGCCAACATACCTGAAGAAACCCTTCTTGTTACTCTTGACATCTCTGTCTAGCTGCAGCTCCAGGTGCGATTTGGCCCTCCTGATAACATTCCTACATGCCCGAGCAATATTTTTATACTCTTCCCTTGTCATATGTCCAACCTTCCACTTCTTGTAAGCTTCTTTTTTATGTTTAAGATCCGCTAAGATTTCACCATTAAGCCAAGCTGGTCGCCTGCCATATTTACTATTCTTTCGACTCATCGGGATGGTTTGTCCCTGTAACCTCAACAGGGATTCCTTGAAATACAGCCAGCTCTCCTGGACTCCTTTCCCCTTCAAGTTAGTCCCCCAGGGGATCCTGGCCATCCGTTCCCTGAGGGAGTCGAAGTCTGCTTTCCTGAAGTCCAGGGTCCGTATCGTGCTGCTTACCTTTCTTCCTTGCGTCAGGATCCTGAACTCAACCAACTCATGGTCACTGCCTTCCAGATTCCCATCCACTTTTGCTTCCCCCACTAATTCTACCCGGTTTGTGAGCAGCAGGTCAAGAAAAGCGCCCCCCCTAGTTGGCTCCTCTAGCACTTGCGCCAGGAAATTGTCCCCTACGCTTTCCAAAAACTTCCTGGATTGTCTATGCACCGCTGTATTGCTCTCCCAGCAGATATCAGGAAAATTAAAGTCACCCATGAGAATCAGGGCATGCGATCCAGTAGCTTCTGTGAGCTGCCGGAAGAAAGCCTCATCTACCTCATCCCCCTGGTCCGGTGGTCTATAGCAGACTCCCACCACTACATCACTCTTGTTGCACACACTTCTAAACTTAATCCAGAGACACTCAGGTTTTTCATCCAGCCCATACTTCTTTAACTTTAAGATCCTTTCTGTATCCTTCTGGACATGTCCCTCAAACTTCAATGCCTCGTACAATGCCTTTATTATTATTTATTGGTTATATTCCTCCAGCAGTTGTTCAGTCCATGTAAACCGACTTATATATAAGCTGCTTTGAGCTGGTTTTTCAGATAAGATCTTGTGACCTGGGATATCCACAGAGGTAACATTTACTTCACTCCCTTCATCCACTCTGATAATTTGGTCACCGAAAGGCGATGTAGTTTGGGTGACATAATGTGTTCTTGTGACTCCACAGCACTGTATATTGGTCATGGTGCTGTTACCCCTACAGAGTTACAGTTTTCTCCTTTCATAGGTAATTCCATTATTGTACGAGAAATGGGAGTTACAGTCAGACTTACAGGGATAGTAATTGCTAGGATTTCTTTCCTTCAGAGTTCAGAGAAGAGCAACAAAGAGCAAAGGAGCTGGAAGCATTGAGTGACTTCTGAGGAAAGATTAAAAGTTAAATCTCTTTAGCTTGGCTCACTACGGGGGATGTGGAACTTAAGTTTGCAGTACAGATCACTGAGGCCAAACCTCTCCTCCTACAATAAAACCATTCTCCTCCCTCAGTGGGTGGCACACCTTGGACAGGTGATCTCTGCTGGGAAAGCCCTGGTTCCAGCACTGCCTTCACAGTGTAATGGTTCTGTCTGCATAGTGCTTCATGGCAACTTTCCACCACAGACCCAGGACAGGCTATGCTGTTCCCCCATCTGATTGTAGTGTTAGATTACATGTGGAACAGCTCACGTGACATGCTCACTCTTAGCTCTTTTTTCCAGGAGCAGTCTTCACTTCCTTTTCTATTGTCTTTCCTCCCTGAACCCCTCCCCCACATGGTGCGTTACATTTTCTAATTAAAGCCAAGTCTACACTACAGACCTATATCGGTATAACTACGTCGCTCAGGGTTGTGAAAAATCCACACCCCTGAGCAACGCAGTTATACCGATCTAACCCCCCCGTGCAGACAGTGCTGTGTCTACGGGGGAAGCGTCTCCTGCCATGGCAGACAGCGCTGCATTGGTAGGGAGGTGGATTCACTACGCTGATAGGAGATATTCTCCTGTTGGCATTGTAGCATCTTCACATGCACGCGAAGACAAGCCCTCGAACTGTAAACTCCTGATGGCAGGGTCTGTCTTTGTACTTGTTTGTACAGTGCCTTGCACATCAACAGCACCGTATAAACAACAGTTAATCTGTATATGCTTATGGTTTCCTCTGCATCATCTGCCACTGTCCACTGTCAGAGACAGGATCCTGTATTAAACAGCAACTGCAGTACCAGAAGACAGGTTTCAGAGGAACAGCCGTGTTAGTCTGTATTCGCAAAAAGAAAAGGAGTACTTGTGGCACCTTAGAGACTAACCAATTTATTTGAGCATGAGCTTTCGTGAGCCACAGCTCACTTCATCAGAGATCATCATCTTCTGGCTGTATTTAATCCCATCCCTGACCGGAATGTCACTCGTAATATACAACATAGACAGCCTGTTCCTCTGCTCAGAGGGCTGTTAAAATGCTCTCTACTTGCTGTACATACAGTTAATAATTGTAGGCAGAAATAATGAAAGTAGGGCACAAATGGCTTTCTCAGGTTGCCATGGTTATGTTGATTCAGGCGAGAGCAGCCTTGTCAAGAAGTGCAACCATCCTAATTTTTAAAAATTACATTTTAACACTGTATCGTTGCCTAGAGAAGAGAGCTGCAGATTTTAAACCCCAGCCTTATTATTGTCCTTTAAGGGACATACTATGGCAGGATTCATGTGACTAATAAAACAATTTGTTATAACTGCACTCCAGCTGCAGTGGCTAGCCTAGGTCCAGTTTGGTCACTCAGCATAGCACCTATAGTCCAGGGGAACCCTGGTACTCCTTGTTCTTGTGGCCAGTTAAGCCAACCTGAATGGGTTCCTTGTTGCTGAGTGGCTGCTTTCCCTTTTCAGTGGGTTTCTCCCAGTTAATTTTCTCCTTCTATCTTGCTCTTGAGTGTCACAAAGTGCAGGACTGTGACACCCAAATAGCTGATATTTCTTGTTGTGCCATTGAATACATGTTACAAAATAGCCGCATGTTACAAAATTTGCATGTGTCACTTTGTCTTTCACCTCTCATGGGTGTTAATGGACTGACTTCAGGATGCTTGTGTACCTTTGGCATGTGGAGTAATTCTGCCTTCCCTTCCTTATTTTAGAGTCACTCGAGCCAACCTATCAGCAACTTCAGAAGATGAAGCTGGACAAGAGCCCCTTTGTGGTGGTATCAGTGGTTGGCCAGGAGCTCCTGACTGCAGGCCACCATGGTGCTTCTGTGGTTGTGTTAGAAGCTGCCCTGAAGATCGGCACTTGCAGCTTGAAGTTGAGGGGATCAGTGTTCTCTGCTCTGAGCAGTGCTTACTGGTCTCTTGGGAATACAGAGAAAAGCACAGGATACATGCAGCAGGACTTGGATGTAGCCAAGACATTAGGTAGAGATCTCATTTTCACTCATTCAATCTCTGGTTTAGTGCTGAATTGATATAAATGGAGCAAATTAACAGGAATGGCAGTGGGATGAATCGTTAGTGCTGAAGCTGCTGAGCCACACAAACAACGTTCTTATTTGCAACAGAATGTGTGAGTTGGGTCGGGTGACCAGACAGCAAATGTGAAAAATCGGGATGGGGTGGGGGGTCATAGGAGCCTATATAAGAAAAAGACCCAAAAATTGGGACTGTCCCTATAAAATCAGGACATCTGGTCGCTCTAGTTATGGGGATCCTGGGTATGTGCTAAAGGGACATTCAAGGGATTTCTTTGTGGCATCGTGTGTCTGTGAACTGGCTTTTCAAGTGAGGGGTGTGCTCAAATAATCTGAACTACTAAGGGCTTGTCTACAGTACAAATGCTTTGGTGCCATAGTTAAACCAGTCTAGCTATGCTGGCAGTGTGCCCTAGTGGAGACACGGCTTATACTGACAAAAGTTCTGCTTTGGCATAATTAAACCACATCCCCACAAAGGATGTGTCATGGCAGCAGGACTATCTTGCTGGTATAACTGGGTCTGCACCAGTGTTCCCTCTAAGCTGTGCAGCTGCACAAGAGTCACTCAAGTAGAGCTGCACACATGCGGCGACTTGTGTTTAGGTGCCGCCCCCCCTCCCCCCCCCGCTGCTCCACGGCTGTGCTGCTCCTGCCCTCTGCCTTGGAGCCCATGGCCAGCTGCTCCCAGGACTCTCCTGCTTGCTGTGTGTGTGTGGGGGGGGGGGAGGGAAGGAGGAGGAAGGGGAAGGGAGGTGCTGATGTCAGGGTATCCCCTTGCCCATGTACCCCATCTCCGAGGAGCAGGGGAGGGGCAGACAGGGCTTCGGACTTAGTTGGAGCTGCTGGTGGCTGCTGCAGTCTGAACGAGCCCACAGACTGGTGAGTGCCACTCTGCTTAAAGAGACAATGCGTGGTCTCTCATACACTTCTCCAGAAGCCAGCACATACACACACTGTGTGTGGGTGTCTCTCTCTGTCTCTCTCTCACACACACTGTCTAGGTCTCTCTCTCACACACATGCACACACCCGCTCTCTTGCACGGACACACAAACATGCACAGTGTCTTTTTCACACTCCCCTCCCAATAGATACTTGTGGTGGTGGTACTTCCTGCAGTGCACATATATTCTCTGGAATTTTATTCTTTCAAAGTGCTGTGTTTTTTTAGTTTTTTGACTGGTCTATGCATTTCATATTTTTATTTCTCTTACTCTTAAATTTAATTGTTTGAGTAGTGAGCCCTAAAATGCCTAACCTGTCCTGGCTGGAGTAATTATCCCTATGGTAACTTTTTAAAAATATACATTCTATCTAGGGTTTTTGTTTCTACTGGTGGCGCACATGCACATTACCTCGATATTGGTGCACATAAAATGAACTCCACACAGGGATGGAAACAATTAGAGGGAACATTGGTCTGCACTGGTATTTTTACTGGCATCGCTGTGTCAGTTAGGGGTGTGGTTTTCTCCCTCATCCCTACCCAACAGACATGCTGGCAAAAGTTTGTAATGTGGACTAGGCCTACGGCACCTCACAGGATTTTGAAATAGTTGTAATAACTCAGGAGAGAGGCTGAGGTATCATTGTGGGCTACTCAATGAAACCACTGCTCACTGTGCAGTGGCAGTCGAAAAAGCAAACAAGATATTAGTGTTCACAGGAATTTGATGGAAAATAACAATTAAAACCATTCTGTAAATCAATGGCATGCCCTCACCTGAAATGGTATGTTCGTTCCTGGTTTTCCTATCTCAAAGGATAAAGCAGAAATAGACAGGGTTCTGAGGTGGGTGACAGAAGTGATTAGAGGCCTAAAACAACTGCCATATGGAGAGAAATTGAAAAAACTGGGATTGCTTAGTTAGAGCGCAGGCAAATAAGAAGGGGCATGCAAATTGTGCAGAGCAATAACCAGTGCAGAGGAGGTAGATTGGGCACTGTTATTCACTCTGTCCCATACTAGAAGAAGAGACATGCAGTGAAATTGAAAAGTCACAACTTTAATATTGGTAGAATGAAATGCTACTTAGCACAATGTATACTTAACTGGCCAAGCTCACTGCTACAAGATATCATTCAAGCACAGAGCTTAGCAGAACCCAGAAAAGGAAAGGCTGAGAGCATCCACAGTCACACTGGACAGGATTGAACATCAAATCTTGGCAGGGATAGAATTTCCCTCTTTTGTGGTTTCTTAAAGCTTTCTCTGAAATATCTGACACAGACCCTTGTCAGAGCCAAGAGACTGGTCTGACTGTGAAATCGCCAAGCACTGTTGCACAGTTTGACATGGCTGTTAGTCTCTCCTCCAAAGTGGTTCAGGACTGGTCTAGCGAGCGGCAGAACAGGTTGGGAGGGAGGGACGTTGGCGGAGATGGAGATGGAGGGGCTGACTGGGAAGATCCCTAGGTAAAGGTCACCGTGCTAGGTGGAATGTACATTACTTAGGAGTGCTGTAGGTCCGGATTGGAGGGCATTGCCTGCAGGGTGTGGGACCACAGGGGTTGGGGGTATCACTGCTGAAGATCAGTGGTTAGAGAAGTTGGGCGAGCTATGTGAGGACTCCAAAATGGAATAGCAGGTGTGCTGCAGGGCAGGACTGGGGGCGTTAGCAGAAGTGTGTGTGTGGGGGGCGGGTTTGCTGAGAAAGCTGGCCCAGTGCTTGTCAGCATTGTGCCTGGACCAAGCCTATCCAATCCAGCCCAGCATTTTCATGGACACAGATTTCTCACATCTTCAACAAAAAGTAAACAGGAAAAAAAGAGAGGCTGTTACCAAGGTGTTAAGCCAAAGAGGGGTCTAAGGTGACATCAAAGTGGAGTCTGGGGGTTAATTTGGAGAATTGTCTGCTTCCCTCTTCAAGGACTGGGAAGAGAGGAGAATTCTGGCCGTGTACTGAGTCTGTGGCCAGGTTTGTTCTGAACCTGGCTCTCCCAGTGGAGCATCCTTTGCATGATGTGTTCCACTCTCTTGGCTGGACTCTTTCAAAGACCCTTCGTTAGCTAACTTTTGTTTTGTTTGCATGTGACTCAGGTGACCAGATGGGAGAATGCCGAGCTCATGGGAATCTGGGCTCCGCATTCTTCTCCAAAGGAAATTACCGGGAGGCCCTTACTAACCACAGACATCAGCTGGTGCTCGCCATGAAACTCAAGGACAGAGAGGTAGGAACCTTGCTAAATAGACTGGATTGGGAATTGGCACTGTGTGGCTTTCTGAAGAAGCACGAGCGTCCCCCTGAGATCCCAAGAATGCCTGCCCCTTTGACCCTCTGGGAAGTTTGAAGCTATGTAACTTCTTGTCCACCTAACATGTAACAAGACACTTAGTCCTGCCCTGAGTGCAGGGGACGGGACTAGAGACCTCTTGAGTCCCTGCCAGTCCTACGAGTCTATGAATGCTATTATGGAGACAGCATGGTCCAGTGGATAGTGCATAGGCTTGGGCATCAGGAGACTTTGGTTCTATTCCCACCTTGGCCTGTCTCTAACGTGCTATTTGACCTTGGGCAAGTCATGTCACCTCTCTCTGCCTCTGTTCCCCTCCCACCCTTTGTCTGTCCTGTCAGTTTAGACTGGAGACTCTGTGGGGCAGAGACTGCTCTTACTATGTGTAGCACAAAGGGCCCTGGCAGTGGGTGGGGCCTCTAGCTGCTACTAATACTATTAATTTGGAGTGCATTAGCATGCACCATGTGCTATGTGCTTTCCATCCATGTAATACAAGACAGTCCCTACCCCAAGGAGCTCCCAGACTTAATAAAACAAGCAACAAGCAAAGAAGGAGGGAGGGAGAGAAAGCATTCAACAGTTATATGTAAATAAGCAAGTATGATTGATTTAGCAATCCGGAAAGTATAAAATGAGATGTGAGCTGCAGTGTTGGTGTTAATGGCTGTTATTTACTTCATTTGAATCTCCTTGGTATTTACCCCACAGCCTCTCAGGTGTTAAACCAGGCCTTTTGCCAGCTCAGAGGAGTGTACTGTATGCAGGCTAAGGGATCTTTGAGGAGTGTATGTCCCGAGAGCTAACCTCTGTGAGTTCACTGTAAGGACAGAGGCATCATTTTAGTGTACTTTCTGGAACAAAAGATTTTGTATCCAATAGTTCAGGAACTTACAGTGAGCGGTTACAGGGGGTAGGATGGGGGGAGTTGAAGGGAGGTTGAGGGTGAGTGGATATGTTTGAAGGCAAATTGTAGGTGAGGGGACATGAGTGTGTGAGTGATTGTGTTTGAGGTCAGATTTGAGTCTGTGTGAGTGGGGGGAAAGGGGTGTCTTTGGGGCCAGATATAATTGAGGGTGTAAGAGTGACCTTACCAGTGCTTGGTTGTGAAGCCCCATTTTAGGTGGCTGTCAGGTTTACTGAAGTGTAAGCCGTTAGGAAAGGCACCCTGCAGTGGGTAGTGGAGGAGCTGTGATTGGGGGCAGGGAGCTGCCAGACAATTTCATGATTATTTACCATCTGGAAAATTTCCCCAATCACTTTCTGATTCCCTGTTTCTGTTCACACATGGCTGGGAAGCTGTTACCCATCATCTTTTTATAGCTGTGCTGATTAGGACTCCCTGTGCTTTGTAAGTGGCAATCTACATAGCTGCAACTCTTCCTGGGGTATTTCTCAGCAGCCCCATGGGCTTTGCAGGGCTGACCCCAGAAGCTGATGAAGATGTAAGGTATGAGGAGGACCATGGGCAGATAGTGATACTGATTGTTGGAGGCCGGAAGCAGCTGCCACCTAGATAGCAAGGGGAAGTCTAGGGCATAGTGTAAATGCTAATGGAGCCACAGGGTGCTAGAGGAGGTTGGGGATGGAAGTCTCTGAAGGTTCCTCTGGTGAGTGAGCTCAGGCTGCCAGCCTAGTAGTGCTGGGCGCCCAAAGCCTACCTGTGCTCCAGGTGTTAGGTAGGCTGCTAAGACAGTCAGCTCGGTGTCATCTGGAGTTACACAGCCAATGGCTGCTATCTAGAAATGTATGCACTGCATTCAGCAGGTACACGGGAGCCTGCCAGGCAGGTTGGATTTCCTGGCCTCTGATGCAGAGCTCATGTGAGGGATCGCAAATCTTGAACCTGGGTTCACGGGTCCCCCAGGCAGTCCTCAGACTGCAGCCACCACCCAGCAGCAAGCAGGGAGTGTGGGCTGGTGGGTCCTAGTTCACCATAGCTGTTGCCCAAAAAGCTCCCAATTGGAGATGTCCAGCCTCTCCAGTTGGCTAAGACTCACCCTTTCAGCCAGAAGGAAGCACAGGAAGTTATCCAAGCAACTAGGTGATCCCTGGCTTGCTGCTACATTGGACCTTGCCTTCTCGCCTGACTCCTGCCTTGTTCCTGCCCTCCTGCTTTGTTCAGATCCCTGCTTCTACAGCCCACCCCAAGCTACCGACTCCAGCTTTGAGCGTTTGCTTGGCTCCCAACTCTGTCTCTGGCTCAGACCTCTGGGTCCTGGTGCCTGATTCCTGCTCTGACCACTAGGTCTGACCGCCTCACTCTTGGTCTACTACAGCTCCTTCACTGGGTTTTATGTTCTATTCAGAGACCATGGTGTGAATCTGAGCAAGCTAATGGCTGGTCTTGTAGCTGACTGAGTGCTGGAAATGGACCCTTAACACTTCCAGAGCAACGCAGTGATCAGCCCCGACAGACTCACCCCAGGAGCACTGTGAAAACAAAGAAAAGGGTGTAACACAGAAGCAAAGCCCAGACCTTGCTGATTGGTGGGGGAGAGAACTACATCGGATGTCTACACTTCGCAATATTGGGAAAGGGCTCAGGCACCATGTTGAGGGAGGCCATGTCAGAACCTAGAGAGAGAGCTAGAACACAGATTAGCTCATCTGAGAAGTGACCCTGAGTAGCGAGTGCTGAGTGCTCTGTTTCATTAACATTAGACCAGTAATGGAAATAATTCCCAGAAGCTGAGCTGGGTGGGTTTTATTTTGTCTGAGGCTAATGCCCTGGATCCAAGAGCATTTTGTATTGAAACCCTGTGCACTAGAATTCAGGGGAATGAAGCTTATTCACAATAGTTTTCAATTTATGACACATCTGGGTACATAATTAACCGTTACTGACAACAAATGGCTACTTGGGTTTGTGAGAAAGCTGAGCCTCTTGGATTTCCTGTAGGATGTAACCACAGGAAATTAATTTGGCGCTTTCTGATGACATCATGTTGACCACAGAGCTTCCTCTGAACACAAAGCTGTTTTTCTTGGCCTCCGTTGCAGACGTTTTTAGAACATGAATATTATTCTAAAGTTGCAATGGTGTTGCTGTGAATTCCACCAGAAGGCAGTTGTGTGTGTGTGTGTGTGTGTGTGTGTGTGTGTGTGTTGTGAGTGACTGTAATGAGGTAATTGTTTAACCTCCAGCTGTACAGCTGGAATTGGCTTAGAAGGTAAAAATGCTCCTTTGTACCAGAGTCCTCTGTCCTCACAGGGAGTATTGACTTCTGAAGCCTCTGTAACAATGAGTGCACCACAGGCTTCTGCTAGATCTAATAGCCCATCAGCCCAGAAAAAAGTTCCAGGGGGCTTTGTATCTGCAAGACCCAGGGCCTCTCTTCTCCCTGTAACATAGGTGTCAGGAAAACTTGTATCAGCTGAGTAGGGACAGATGGGCTTGTGAGGAGGATGAGAGGTTTTTCTCCCTGGTGATGGGAAATGTACAGTAGCTTCTTTATAAAGGAGAGAGAGTTTGTGCAGCTCCTGTTAACTGCAGTGTATATTGCGACCTGTAAAGTGCAGGGCCTCTTCCCCACAAAGAGAATGTGTTAGCAGATGATTCTGCCTTTGGAGGTGGCAGTGTGTGATAGGAGAGGGACAAGCTGGGGTTAATGTGGTTTTCCCAAACAGACTAATGTAAGAGTGTGCATGTGTGTGGGGTTTTGTTTTGTTGGTTTGTTTGTTTTTAAAGGCTTGGCATTAACATGTCTTCACCAGCATGCACCCAAGAGACGTCAGGAGTTAGAATGGACTAGAAACGAACATGACAACAGTAGAACCTCAGACAGACACTGGAGAGAGAGCAGTTGGGGATTAACATGCCTCCAGCATTGCCCCAAGAGATACCAGAGCAGTGAGCAAAGTTGTGTGTTCAGGTGACTGGGATGGAAGCAGCAGCAGGTGACTGGAGTCTCTGTTTCACGAACTCTGTCCTAGTAGGATTCAGATTCCCAGTGTAAATGCAATACATAATGGAAAGTGTGAGGGAGGTGCATGTGGTGTGTAGAACACAGTACTTTCCATTGCCAGTAATGATACTGTATCTATAGTAGGTTAAGAATCTATTTGGCTACCTGCAGTTTATTGACCTCATTAGTGTTCATGAGGAGGGATTATACCTGCAATGACAATTGAGTAGACACCAAGGTAAGAGATGAAATTATTGTATGGCCTTGTGTTACTGCATCATCCCCGGGGGCAGGTGCCTGCCCCACTGGCTTCCCACCCAGGTACACTGGGAGGTCCTGACTGTTGTCTGGAGTTCCCATGCTTCCAGTTGAATAAATAAGCAGATGCCACATTTGTCTTTGTGGTGCTCAATCTGAACTTGAGTCCCACTCATGATGAACGGACTTTTTTTAACAACTAGAAATACCCCCCCATATTTGGACATTTACACAGGATGCAACTGTCTGAATTACAATCAGATTATAGGATCAGTCTCTTATTTCTGCTGCAGATGAAAAGGACATGGGTTTTGGAAATGTGATGTTACCAATCTGTCTCCCCCTGTAATCTAAGAGTCTCAATAATTATATCATGATTTATCAAGATCATAAGAAACAATTAGTCTCTCCTGGTCCTGTAGTATGGTTAGGTTTGCCTCTGTCTTTCATTTCTGACCTCCACTTCAGTCTGCCAGCCACACATGCTGTGACTAGAGATCACAGATGAAGCAAGTTTCATCAGGGAGGTTTGGCTCTAACTGGGTGAAGTGAGGTTAGATAAACCTGAAAATTGCTGGCTCTGATTCCGCTGCTGGAGTTGGCCAGCAAGATCAGGTGAAATCAGTTAAGACTCAGGCAGACTGCGAAGAGCTACAAAAGGATCTCTCAAAACTGGGTGACTGGGCAACAAAATGGCAGATGAAACTTAATGTCGATAAATGCGAAGTAATGCACATTGGAAAGCATAATCCCAACTATACATATAAAATG